CCTTATAGATAAGAAAAAGGAATATGAATTTATTTTCTGTGAAGGTCATCCTAAAGTCAGAAAATAACATCAGCTCAGTCATGCTTAGAAAATCGATTCTGACATCAGTGTGGAGAATGGTAACTAGAGCCCAGGGAAGGAGCCCTTGTGTACCGTGTACTCACCTCGGTTACTATAGCGGCTGCACATCAGTGAGCCCCTCTACCTTTTTCCACTTCTATGAGAAAATATATCTCTGGTATGTATGTTATACTAATTATACTGTACTTACATTCATTTTATACAAAATAAAATATTGTTTGGCCCCCCCCAAAAAAAAGAAAAAGAAAATTTTTTGCACATCAATAGAAATCACTAGCAGAATGAAAAGAAACACAAATTTGGAAAAAAATATCTTAACCATCACTCAGACAAAGCACTTCTATCTAGAATATAGAAAGAATAAAACAAACACAAATTAGGCCCCAAAATTCAAAGATCCAATAAAAAAGGGGCATCTGAGATGAAAACATACTTCTCAGAGGAAAAAATACAAATGGTAAATAAATATATGAAAAAATGTCTGATATCATTGGTCATTCAAGGAATGCAAATTAAAACAACACTGCAATTCTATCTCATCTCAGAAAGAATGGCTATCGTAAACAAATCAACTGATAACAAATACTGGAGAGACTATGGGGAAAAAGGAACCCTTCTCCACTGTTGGTGAAAATGTAGAGTGGTATGATTTCTGTGGAAATCAGTGCAGAGACTTCCTCAAAAAAGTAGGATCAGAAGTCCCATGTGGCCCAGCTATTGCCCTTCTGGGTATTTTTCATACCATAGTCATGTATGTGCACCCATGTTTATAGCCATGCAATTTGCCACAGCTAAATACTGGAAACAACCCAACTGCACATCAACTGAGATGGATAAAAAAGATACGGTATTTTTATACAATGGAGTATTATTCAGATATAAAGATAGAGTTGAGGCTTTTATAGGTAAATGGATACAATTAGAACCATACTCATAAGTGAAATAAACCAGAACCAAATGTGTAAACATCATATTGTCTCCCTAGTGTAAGAACCTGAAAGAATACATAAAATCTGAAAGATACAATAGATATAGTACAAAGGAAAGAAACTGCTCAAAAGGAATGAACAATCAGGATGAGAGAAAGAAGGAAAAAAAGGAAGGGGATAAAAGTCATGTATGTATATACAGAGATAGTAAGATGATTCTTACTACCAATTTCTACCAGTTTTTTGAAGGAGGCGGTTAATGCTTAAAATTTTTATTTTGACCAATTTTGCATGCTTATATCTGTAATCTGAGCACATACACTGAAGACAACAAGGTACAATATAACAACCACTGTTGAATAAATATGGTTTTTTCTTGAAATTGTTTACTGTTTCTAATGTCTTATCTGTTATTTTTCTACTCTCTTTAAAATAAATAAGCAAGCAAACAAGCTATGGAGTATAGTGGGTGACAAGATACTGCAGATATACTGGGAAAGGCAAATATACAATCTACTTTTAAAAATGACCACATCGCACACACCTGCAATCCTAGAGGTAGGAGTAATGCTGAGAGTGTGAGGCTAGTCTGCGCTACACAGTGAGCTCATGGCCAGCCTGAACTATATGAAACTGTCTCAAAAACAACAAAAGGCAATCCCACTTTCTGGCTATTCTAAGTGGGGTGGGGGGTCCCTAATTTTTGATGTGGGCCCCAAACCCTCAATGCTAAAGTTGCCATAGTTATACCAGGCTGCATCACTGAAGTAAGGGGGCCTCAGTAGTTGTTAACATCTCCTCCTTCACTTTTAGGCAAGTTTCACACTTGCAAATTTCTATGTCGAACTATATCACCTGTTCCTGGGCCTACTCTTATTTTCATAAGCCCAACGATAACTCTGCTAAAGAAAGAAACCCAAAATAAAGACTAAGGAATCACAACCAAGGCTCACAGAACTAACATGCCCTCTCAATATGCTCAATGCATTGTGAGCTTTAGAGTGATTATATCAATTTTGGCACCTGTGTATTCAGCTAATTTTATTCTTAGAACTAAAAATTTGATAAATTATTTATGTAAAACTGCTTCTTTTCATTACAATGAAAAAAGAAATGAGTTCCAGTTTCAAATGAATGTCAATATGACACGCTCTGTCCTGCTTCCAATCAATTCTATTTCAACTCACAGAGAACTACCAAAGTGACGAAAAGAGGAAACCTGTAACCAGAGAACAGGAAGAGGCCCAGTTAGAGGGGCTTATATCAAACTTCTGGGAATCAGTAACTGAGATGAAAGGAATTTTTAAAAAGAAGCTATATCCTAGAATGTACAAGGCAGGACTGGCATTAGCCACAGAAAGCAGAGGGCAGCATGAGAAGCAGAATTGAGAACTCCGAAAAGCCCTGAAGGTCCGACCAGGTACAACAATTGCATTCACTGCAGGCTCATGCCAGTGCCTTGGCCATTTCCCTCTATATCAGAAAGCAAGGAGTCAGCATGATCCTCAGATTAAAGCAGCTGGCTTGCTCCTAAGGAAAATCCAGCTTTCATGGGGCCCGGGCGTTCATGTCTTCTTCATGTGGCCTCACAGACTACATCCACTGATGCACCCCACAGCACACCCTGCCAGTCGTCCTGGTTCTTCTCCCAGCTTGTCTCAAGTGACACTGGCCTACACTTAACTCATGGAGCAGTGCGCATTCAGAGTGCAAGCAGGTGCCAATTGGGGCTTTTGGCTACTCCCAAAGTCTTATTCTCTACTGGTAAGACACACAAAAAGAAGCAAAAAAAGGGAAGGGGTAAAAAGAGATAAGGAAGGATAAACACATCTACACAAACTTCTAAGGGATGAATGGCAAGCATTGCCCAGAAGGGCCTCCAAGAAACTGAAATAATGGGCTAACTTTTATGCTAAAATGTGGCCTTTCTACAAAAAAAAAAAAAAAAAACAGCAAACAATAATGGAAAATTCTACCCTCCTCTTTTTTTTTTAAAAAAAAAAAAGAGGTTTACATGTGTTTATGAAGAAAGACACATACTTCAGTGGAAATTGTTTAAAATTTCCTTTTTATAGTATATTTTCTTAAAATAAGTGTTAATATAGGAAAGCAAAAGATATTCATATCAAAGTAACAGGAATATCATACTTCATTCAACACCCATTTCCTGAATCCTTGGCAGAGTGACAACCACTTTTACTAAGATTATAAAATATTTTCAAGGGCTGGCCAATAGCTCAGTGGATTAAAGCACCTGCTTAGGCAGACGCAGGGGACAGGGGTTGTGGGAGGCTATAAAGAGGAGGATCACTATGAGTCCAACCTGTGTAGTGAGACCCTGTACATCCTGTACTGAATACATAAAGAAAAAAAAAATCTTCAAAAGACTCATGTTCTAATAAAGTAAACATGAAAACAGATAAATTCAAATACTATATAAGTGCCTACACTAGTGATAACATCTCTGAACAAAATCCAATTCAAACTAATGAGAATTAGAAAAATACTGGAGTTTATCTCACAAAAATCCAAAGGCCAAAGACAAAGCAGGAATCGGAACTGTCCTTTCAACTCTGCCAGAGAGAAGAGATGCTCTTCTCTTAATTTAAATCTGAAAAGCTCCACAAAAATACCCTGGTTGCCCTGGACCAATCTCTTCACTGCAAGGCTCTTATCCGAAAAAGGGTAGAGTGAGAATGAGGGAAATGACTCGACCAGGCCACAAGGGCAAATCCTTATCTTGATGAGAAGGGACCAAAACAATTTATGAACAAAGTTGTAAAGGAGTGCAAAAAAGGCTATCAAGCTAATTAAGGGCCTTAAGATATGCAAATGTAAGTACAGTCATACTTTAATATAGAATTAAGTGGTTAACTTACATTTAATATAGGTTTTTCACTGATCAATGGAACAGAAAAGAGAACAGTTATCAAATGCCAATGTGGAGAAAAGCATCCAGGAAAGGGACAATGAGTTACTTTTGTCCCATGGGTAGCAGGGATTTTTAAGCAGAGGTAGGGGTGAGGATATCATCAGGTAGTCTTTTTTTCTCCCAAAGACAGCAAGAGACCTAGAACCTGATTTAGTACACAGACTGATGACAAATAAGAAAACTGTCTTGAAAGTTGCCGGAACAGTCAAATTGATCAGTAAGGTAAATTATAGCTGAAATAAAAAGAAGAAAGGGCAAAGAACCGACAGTTCAAAACTGTCTCTGAAAAGTTTTCTTATACTATAACAGTCACAACAAACAACCTCTAGACTGCAATATTATGTTATCCCACCAATTACAGTAGACTGTAAAAAATAAACCTGAATTTAGGACATTTTAAGTGAAATAAACACTTTCTTGGCCAGGGAGATAGCTCAGTAGAATAAGCACTTGCCTGGAAACACTTTCTACAGAATAATCTTTCAAAACAGACACGATGTAAAGAAATTCCACTGCACTACATGAGGGTTCAAAACAGCAAAGCTTATTTTAACTTCACTGCTTAAACCAAATAATTATCCATTATCAGCAGTCTGAGTAGGTTTCCTAGCAATCCAGAGTATTTCTCCCAAGTGTGTTTCATCTTTTCAGTTCCCTTCTAATGTTCTGAATTCTTTGGCTTAGCTGCTGGCTATAAATAGAACATTTAGTGATTCCTTTCAACTATGTTCCTCCTTACACTGTTTCTCTCCAGCAGGGGTCTAAGCACACATAGAATACATACACATATGCACTAAATTAGAAAGTACACAATTTAAAATCCTTTCACCTCCACAAAGGATGCATGTATTGACTGGCTGATTTTTGGTGCTGGGGACTGAACTCATAGTCTTTGCACCAAACTATATTCCCAGCCTTTTACAATACTTTATTTTGAGATAAGTCTCGCTAAATTGCCTGGGCTGAGCTGGGATTATAAGCATGTACCACTGTGCCCAGTTTAAGGTACTTCTTATTCCCACCAGGATCAGTTTTACATGCCATAAATGATTACTTACCTGCATATTCATAGAACCACTCTAAGCACCGCTTACTTGAGAAGGCCTCTTCTTCTGTCTTAATTCTAGCTGAATCATATTTTCTATACATGCTAAAAATTGAAAAAACAATTTTAAATTATTTAAGGATACTAAATTGTTCAATGTAGCGGTAACTTCTACTCTTTTACCTCATCAGTATTTTAAGTATAAACATTTTACTTCCTGCATTTGCAGCAACTGCAAGCTTTTATAACTAGTATAGAAATACAGTTATATCTTCATTTAAAAATTAAACAGTAAGCATTTAATATAGGTTTTTGCCGATTTAACAAAACATGAAGAATTAAATACAAGTTATTTGATATACTCTGTCTTCTACCTTGCTAGCCAAAATTAAATATAGAATGACAGTAAGAAATGTCTCAGGTGTTTTCTTCAATTTACGATCCTAAAAATGACTTGTGTCTCTTCATTAAGTTACCATCAGGCAAACCCTGCCTCAAGAACCACCTGTCAATCATAGGCGACACAGAGAATATTAAGCAAATAAAAAGAAACAAATTTGCATCCATGCTTTTTAAAAAAAATTCAGGTATAAGGTTGACAAGACAGTCTCTCAAATGGCTCCCTGACAGCTATAACCCTCCAAGCCTCAGGACCAGGTAGAGAATCCTGGCTCCTGCTGCCATCACATCATCCAGCACTCCAGTGGAGGAGCCAGGGAGGGGCTGGGAAGCTCATGTTCACCTCTGTCATGCAACTCAGCAGGAACCCCTGAGCTCATAACCAGGGCTGAGGATGAAGAGCCTCTCGACACGGCGAGGGCAGAAGCAGCAATAGCTTTAAAACTATGATTTGGATATTATGAGTATACACATTTTAACCCCTTATTTATATATGTTACTTTTGCCCATAAACATTTGTTATTTATGTAATGTATAATATAAAAAAATATACTTTTTTTTTTTTTGTGGAACCGGGGATTGAACTCAGGCCCGCTTGCCAGGGAAGTGCTTATTCTACTGAGCCATCTGCCTGGCCCTTAACTTTTTCTTAGTGAACATTTATTCATGCCCTAGATAATCACTAGATTACATATACATCTAATTATACAGAGTCTGGGTTTTATCACCAAAAAAAGCATGGTTATAAGGTACTGTTACTGAAACTGCAAATCAAAAGTTTCATGTTTCTTTTATAAGTGGTAGGCATACTACCTGGAAATAAAAATGGGATGCTGGCCAAACACTCAGTTATGCTTTTGCTGGGCCTAGACACTCCTACCTCAGCTCAAAGCCTGCAACTACTCAATAACCTGAAGTCCTTTGTATGACACTATAATATTTTGAAAATGTTTCAATGAAAAATATTCTACCTAAAAATACACCAAAACCATACAATGGAATAACACTAGGAAAATAAAATATACAAAACATTGATACATGCTATTATATGGGTGAGCTTCAAAGACATTATCTAAAAGTAGCAAAACACAAAAGATCACATATACACATAAAATTATATGGTTCATAAAAGCACACTTGATGGGAGTTAAGTACAGATTCATGGTTATGGGGGGCTGCGAGTGGGAATCAAGAGTAACTGTCACTGGGCATCAGGCATGTGGCGGGGCTAATGGAAACGTTCTAACCTGGCTTGGAGTGATAAGTTTCCAAGACGTGGTTAACTTAAAAACAAACCAAAACCAAAACCAACCAAACAAAAACCCCACTAAATTTGTTACTTCCAAAGTATCGATTTTATAGTATATAAAGTTTTTAAAAAGAGAGATCAAGCCCAAGAATAAAACTCAGAAACTACAATTCAACTGCCAGTTTTTAATTCAGTTTTAGATATACATTATAGTAAAAAAGAAAAAAAGTGCTAAACAGCAACAAAATGCAATGTGATTATTAGAATTTATAATTCCTTGATAATATCATCCATACCAAACTGATCAAGTAACATGGTTTTGTAAAACTGAAAACAGGGCTGGGGAGATAGCTCAGTAGAATAAGCGCCTGCCTGGCAAGCACAGGGTGCTGAGTTCAATCCTCAGTTAAAAGAAAAAAACAAAAAACAAAAAAACAATACAGTAAAACTGAAAACCACTGGCCCACAGACTGCTAGCGATTTATCTTCAAAATAGTTTGTGATATCAATGGTGGCATTATTTGTACATTTTCAGAGTCCATATCTCTATCCCTCCAACTGAGCTGTGTAGTAATATCACAGTACTGTGTAGTAATATCACAGTAAAAGAAAAATAAGTTTTCACCTCAATTCCCTTAATTTACAGATATGGAAATTCCAGTCCATTAGCAAAGTGACCCACAAAGCCAGAGTAGGGAAAGTTGAAAAGGGAGAAAAAGTTAGACTATGTTTATTTTTTTTTCTTCAAGGAAAAAAAAAAAAAAAAAAAAAAAAAAACCCAGCTCATCATGGTGGTGTGTGTCATTAGTCCCACCTACTTAGGAGGCTCAGGCTTTAAGTCCAAGATTTATAGCAAGACCCCCACCTCAAAAAAGTTTGGAAAAAGGAGGAGAGGGAGGTTAGAGGTCTCAGTAAAATAATGAAGATACCTAAAGTAAACACGTAGTCCTTGGAGTTACCAAAATGAATAGATCAACTGTTTTTACAGTTTTTATCAAGTTCTTACTCCTCTGAGAATAAACCCAACATGGCTAACATTCCAAGGAGGTAGAGCACCTAGCACAAGTACAGGGCTGTGGCCCTGTGGCAACAATAGTGACAGGGCTGTGAAAGAACAGACCCCAATTCTGTGATCCTGGCACAGCGCACTGACTCGGGCTTGCAGAGCAAAAACTAATACTTAGTTTTGGTGACTGAATATGCTACAATAAAACTTTGATTTTGAAGAACTCAAATTACCTATTTTGTTTTTATATCTTATAAACCCAGCCCGAAAAGAATCACCATTAAATAATTACAGTTTGAAAGATCACCTGGCAGAACAAAAACAATGTTCCAGCTGCATACTAAGATGAGTCAAGCTAGATTAAGTAGACATGCACAACTTCAACATGTGTGTTAGCGATTTGGCTCTACAGTTTCTGCACCGTACCTATCATGTCTACTCTTCTTGGCCGATAAGTCATCTCCAGAAGCAGGTCTTCTCTTTTTCCTTGGGGGCATCACTTTACTAAAGCAGTCCGAAGAACTGCAAGACCGGAGGCTTCCTACGGGACAAATTCAGAGAGCACATAGTTAAAGTATGCCACATGGTAACTCGTTGAAACAGCACTACTACTGAATTTAAAACATCCATGCCTTGTACTACAAAGGGCTTAGATGCTATCAGAAAATGCTATAAAGGGCTGGTGAGATGGCTCAGTGGTCTAAAGCACCTATTTAGAACAAGCTTAGCAGAGCACAGGGACCACGGTTCAATCCCCCAGCACCACATGCCAGCCAGCCCCGCCCCCTGGTGGGCTGAGCTGGCCACACACACAAATAAATAAATAAA